CACTTGATTGATGTTTCAGAAGGCTAAGCTGGTAAAAGAAAATGTCTCGGTCTTTCAGTAAACCTGTGCTCGACTTTAATTTTAAACCACATAGGTATGTAAACTCCAACAATGAACTTTAAATTTTCGCCTTCCAACTCATGTTTTGAGACCCAAAATTTGCAAAGTCTGTTGGCTGTTGCCAACCATCTGGAATGATTAACTGGCCCAATTTCAAGTAAAGCCAAGTCTGTGGGTATATTTCCACTCCTAATAACAGAGACTATTTTATATCCATAAAACCAATCGGAGGATAATCTTATCCTTTAGAGTAATAAGCGGATTTCCTACATCAATTTTTTCAAATGAGGGATTAATTTCCGGGGCAGTTGTGTCATTTAATAATTTTCCAATGGAAAATTATTAAATGACACGGAGGAAGTTCATTAGTATGGAGTGCACAAACCAGCCAGTTTAGCTTTCTTCCTAACTTTACTTCCACCCAATGTATTGCCTTGCCTGACCACCCTGTGTTAACACTAGTAGATCACCACCAATTGCTGTAAAACTTTTATTGGCACCATTACTTTTCAAAAATTCGTATATATTCTGAGCAATTACTTCAGCATGTTTCATATGTTTTTAACTTTTTCAGGTGTGAAATGGAAAAGATACCTACCACTGGGCTTTTGACATACTGTATAATGTTCTGCTTTGATTGTAGCAGGATAACATTTAGACAAACCTTTGACGACTAATAGAATGTTTGTATTATCAATTCTGCCATGAACAAAAACACAATCAATAATGGTAGACCTGCATTGAGTATCAAACTCTCTAGAAGGAGACAGCATAATTTTTTATTGAGCTCTCTTGACTTTGATGTGGTTGATAAACAACTTGGTATCATCTTCTTTAGCTATTCCTATGTCCTTTTAGCTGCCATTGCAATTGCAATTGTTTCCCATAAGCCTGTACCGTACCATATGTTTGCTAATGCTATGTTGGAAATACTTTTATAATTCCTTTATCCTCGTAAACGTTCCTGATCTTCATTCTGTTGACACATTAGATTAGATTCAGTATTGCTGTTTGTTGTGAAACATTCATTACTTAATAGTTCGTCTGTTTCACTAAATTCAAATTCAAACTTTTCTTCCTGACTTCTAATTGTTTGTTGCAGTTCTTCAGACGCATTTTGCTTTAGCTATGGATAAAGTAATTGAATTTTCATTCATTGGTGTTTAGTAAAATATTGTAAGTACAAATAGTTTCATGAATATGTTTTTTATTTGTCATTTTCAAATATAAGTAAAATATAAATAGTTGTATGTAATAATTTCACTTTGGATTTAATTAGATTTTGTTATTTTTTAGTTGAAACAGGCAGATTTATTTGTAATATAACTAAAATTAATTTAACTTTGAAGTTTAATTAATTTTTTTTAATTAACTAATTACTAAATAAAAACATAACTAATTAAAAAAATCTTACTTCTTCCTGATAATATATTTCTTATTAAGAATACTCTTTCTTCAATTTTATGTAGCTTTTTATTTTCTTTAAAGTCAGGTAATCCAATTTGATGTGGAGCGGTAGTCCCTATTTTAGCTCTTTGCCCATGTATAAAAACTCTTTCTTTGAAATTTTTTTCTTCTTTTCACACGTACAGATAATATGGGCTTCATTACATTCTGAAAAACAATTTTTCTCTTGACAAGTAATAATTTGGCAATTACAATTTAGTATATCAAACAATTTATCAAGTTTTGCCAAAAATCTTTATTCTTTAAGCTTGCTTTTCCCCTAGCAACCAGCTGCATTCCATTCATTTACCAAAATTGCAGTAATATAATGTTCAATAGGTGTTCCACATATATAAATAAAGCATTGGCATGGATCCATTTACCAATCAACTTTAAGTAAACATCGTTCATTAGTGATTTTATCGGATAATTTCTTGTGTTTCTATTGTTTCTTTCTCGCAAAAACAGACCATATCTAAGAAAATCTCTTAGCGTTGGTAACTCCGATACAAGAATATCTGTTCTAAAGCCTATATATTCCAAAAGCTTTGATTCACTTCTTTTTCTAGTTCTTGAGGATATTGACTCTGCCATAATTAAATAGCAAAGTTCATAATTTACCAACTTTTTGTATAAATTTTTTAATTTTTAAAATTTATTATAATATTTTTTAAAATTTAACATACAAATTACATGTTTGACAATTTATAAACTGGCAACTTTATATAGTTTTGATATCAAATAGAACTCAATGTGAGTGGGTAAACAATTACTTGCGTATAAAAATGTATGGACACCAAACAGTAACTGTGGTTAGGACCAAAGCTAATTACGAAAAATTGACATAAATATACATTTTTAAAACGCACTTTCCAGTAGCTTAACATAAATTATTATTAGTTTTTTTTTTTGGTTTTAATGTTAAAATAGTTGTACACAAGTTTTCTATATAGCGGGTTTTAGGAAAAACTTTTTTTTCAAAAAATCATAAATGACACACCCTACTACACATGTGCCCATAATGGAAAAAATGCTAAAAAAAACGTTGAACTTTTAATTGAAACTAAATAATAAATGTAAACTAAGAAACTAACTTAAAACGCGGTAGTGGTGTAGTGGTAGAGCGCTTGCTTCATAAGCGAGTGGTTCCGAGTTCGATCCCCACCACGTCCCTGGTAGTACCGCGCTCAACTCGTTTCTCCGCGCAGCGGCCTTGTTCGTCAAGGTTCGTGTTTCGGAGTTATAGAGTTGAGAGAGGGTTATAGCCACAAAATAAGTAGCCTCCTCGTCTGTAGTGGCCTTCTCGGCCTTGAGGAGGTGAAGTAAAATAAAAAATAAAAAAAAAAAACTTAGCCATTTTAGTAAAAGTTCACTTTTTTTATTTCAGTCTTATAATGACGTCTACAAAATAAACACACTTTTATAGATGCAAACTACAGACATAACACACTTTACAAGTGTGTTAAATATTTTCAATTGTGCTAAATGTCATTATATTATTAGTCTGAATTCTTAAACGTTTCAGTATTTTACACATTTTCAACAGAGATTTACAAATGCTTATTGTTTAACTACTGTCTTAGAAAATGTTTTATGACATTTTAACTGATTTTTTTAAAATAATTTCTTTACTCATTTTATTTTCTAATCTTTATTTTATATTCTAATCTTAAAATAATTATCAATATTTTTCAGTATTACTCTAATGTATATTACTATTAATAAACAATTCAATCTCCATAAAGTCAACTGCTATACTTGTTTCGACTTGTTTATCTGCGTAGCAGCCTTGTTTTTTAAGGCTTTTGTTTCGGAATTAAAAGTTTGATAGAGGTTGGGAGAGCGCAGCCTCCTTGACAACCTTAGAAAAGAGCTTACAATAAAAAAAAAAGACAAAAAAAAAAACAACAACAACAACAAACAAAAATATATAAGAAATATACAAAATTATCATGAAGTTTGTTGCACTAAATTTTGTACAAAAAAATATAAAAAAATTAAAAAGTTTAGAAAAATGGCTAAAACAGCAAAGGTTTTGTCGGTTTTATTATTTAGTTTCAATCAGTTTGAACATTTTCTTTAATATGAACAAAACATGTGTTGGGAGACTCTTTAGGTATAATTTTTGCATATTTTTGGAGAAATTAAATAAATAGAGTTGTGGGTGGAAACTGAAAAAGAAAAAAAGAGAAAGTTAAAAATTCCACTTAAAGAAATCTAGGGAAGCCATCACCTTTTTTAGACAAGCCTGTTAAAGTGCTTTCAAAATCAAAATTAAAATACACAACACAATAAAAATATAATAAATAAATCACAAATGGTTATAGTGCTTGAAGATACTGTAATATTGTTTGCTAAGACCAGTTAAAGTTTAAGCTGATAGGTTATATTATTTGATAACTTCTGTAGGGTGTTGTAATCAACTTACATTTTAAGTACCTTGGATAAATAGTGGGGTCACAAAAAGAGCTTTGTCAAAAAAAAAAAAAAAAAAAAAAAAAAAAAAAAAAAAAAAAACCAACAAATATGCCAACATTTGAACAAGATATATATGCCATTATTTAACTCAGGTTTTTATATGACACAAAATAAATGTGTCTATAAATTTTTTATTTAACTATTTTATTTTGTTTGAATTTATGCGCGCGCAGAAATGGAAGTAAAAACATAAACAAACATTATATGAGCGGTTTAAGCTTAAGCTGTTTATGATGGAAAAAAATGTAAATACTAAACCTATTCCATGTAGAAGTTTCAAAAGATCAAAAAGACGAGAATGAAAAAAATATAGATTTATATAAATTAACTTCAACCACATCAGTCATTACTATGAAACCAGACAAATTTGTAATAAACATAGTCCAAACAATTTGTGTTATTGCAATTTACTTGTATACAAACATTTATTTTAAAAATGATAGATCTTGCAACTTTTACACTGGCCTTACATCTTTCAGTGTGTTTCATAGGTTACATAGTGCAGTATCACCATTAATCAAAAGAAAATAAAGTGATGTTAAAAAAATATTTATTGCTTTTCGAAATTTAAAAAAAACCTAAAATATTTGGATTAACTGATCTTGCTGACAGGTTTAATATATCTTTAGGATTAGCCAGTGCAATATTTTCTACATAGGAAAGTTTCTAGCTCACTTTTAAAGCACATGGTTTTTGTTCCAAGTAAAGATGTTATAAGACAGATAATGCCAAAGAGATTTAAGAAATTAAATTATTCAGACTTAGGCTACACTGCCCCTATATAACAGAGTTTTTTATTGAAATACCTCAAAATTTAGACTTACAGAAACTAACATAAAGTGAATACAAACATCACAACAATATAAAAACAGTATCTGTAGCTCAAAATTCATCAATATTTTCTTTAGAAATTTCATCAATAATTTCATCAGTAATTTCTAAAGCTTACAGAGGCTAAATTTCAGATAAAGAAATTACAAATTGCAACAACTATTTAGATCAAATTACAAAACACT